CTACAAAAGCTGATTGCACTGGCCACCTCCAATTTCCAGATGTTACTATTCTGTACCGTTTTGTGTAGAGTCGTTGACACAGTGGACAGAACTTTCTCTGACCTACCTACGTAGACTTTACATCGCTCTGTCCATGTAAAAAGAACCTGTGTAAAAGTTACAATAAAAACAATTTGTATAGTTCTAGTAGTTTCGCCATTGTTACAGTATATAGTGATATATACATACATATTATAAATATACGACTTTGTTTTATACTATGTATAAAAAAGACGTCCAGCTGTCTGTCTGTCCCTATGTATGCTTAGATCTTTAAAAGTACGCAACGGATCTTGATTCGGATTTTTTTACTAGGTGGAGTGACTTAAGAGGAACGTTTATATACATGTATGATACATTGTACCAGTCCAAAACCGGGGCGGGTCGCTAGTTACTAATAAATTATATTCTTGTTCCGAAAAACTACTCCGTGTTTTTGCAGTAAATGCTTAGAAGTTATATTTATTGTTACGGGTTTTTAATTGTATCAATTTTTAATTCATATCGCGTAAAGTTGGAAATCTGTACTTAAAGTAAGTACGACCACGATGTGTAAGTAAAACTATACTTAAAGCCACTGTAATTGAGATCGAAATTTCAGTACACATTATTTATTAATTATCGTTGGGTAAGCATACATTTATTATTTGTGTGTATAAAATGTCAATCCATATTCAATATTTTCGTAATAAGAAACTGGGGGACCGTTCCTTTTCTAAAGGACCCGACAAGAAGAAATCCTTTTTGACTTCGCATAATGCAATTTATTATGGTAATAACTCCGTATCGCCGCACGAATACGCCTTGTATGCTGATCCGGTCACGTTGGGATTACTGCGGCGAATGTGGGACCGATGTCACGGGCGGAGACGCGCGGCGAGGTCGCTTTTTGCGGTGCCACCACCATTTTTTGGATGCTCTCTCGGGTGTGGAGAGTCAGACCGAGCCTAGAGGTCAGCCGGCGGCGTTAGAGGCCCGTGAATGGAACGGAGGTGGTCTACTCAGCGGCTGTGTGATACAGATGATATTAAAACCCCTAATGGGTAGGGAATGTATGCAATCTTTCTTCAATTTCTTTATACATGTTAAAGGCCGGTGTATAACCGAAGTGTTTCAACGTTTGTATGTCTGCATTACGTTTAGTGAGTGAGGTAACTGGGGCACACCCTCATAAATGCAGGAAAGTTATCATTTAACATCTGACGAAACGTTTATTTTGACACCTTAATTGCATGAATGAATTTCAACATGTTTATTACTCTAACTAGTGTACAAATATTTTATGCAGAATTGAAAATTATTTAACTCTAAGATATTTCGATACTTATTATAAATTATTAGTTCCGTGCAGAATACACTATTACGCATACATATCCACACATACAAGTCTTGACTCTACATACACATACTCTACTATGGTTAGTTAGAAAAGTTGAAATTGGTTACTCTTCCACCTACTTCAAAAAAGGAGGACGTTCTCAATTCGACTGTATTTTTTTTTTATGTTTGTTATCTCAGAACTTTCGACCGAGTGAATCGACTTTGATGATTCTTTTTTTATTTGATAGCTGGTGCTTCTCATATGCCAAATTAATTTCATTGGTATTGGATATTGTGCTCCGGAGAAGCTTATAAACTCCTAAAAATCGATTATAAAACGAATACAGAGCGAGATATTTGAAGACGGTTTTGTTTTTCGTTAATAAAGAAAATATACTTATAACAAATACAACTAATAAGACGTAGGCACCTAGAAACGTTTAAAGTCAAAATGTTGCTAATGTCAGTTATATACTTATAAATAGAACAATCTGGAAGGAGCAAACGGCCCACGACTCGGACGTCTACAGGTCTCTGTATTTTTATCCGTCATCGATTACCCGACACAGCTTCTTGGTTACAATACAACAGTCAACAACAGTTGTTACTAGAAACTGATATTTATACGGCTCGGTTATAATCCTGACCGCGAAACTTATGCGATTTCAATAAAACAATATGAACACTTCCGAAACGCTTCTAACACCACTTCCGCAATAATATCTTATCACGAGGTAAGTTATAACGGATTTTCTTATTATTAACAAAATATGTACAATATTGTTATCACATTATAGGAAAGAGAACATTGTTTTGCGCATTGAAACTGATTGTACGGAAAGAGATATTTTCCAGCAATCTAGTGAGCCAGTAGCTTCGTTGTAGACTGTACGTCGTGCATATATTGCGGAAATGCGAGACGTGGACACATGTGTAGTGCAATGAAGGTATACAGGCTTCCAAGATATAATGCAACGTGTGTATTTATGTTTCATTACGTTTAACGTTTAGGTTAGGACGTTACTTGAGGCGATAATTTATATGTCCCTTTCTCCTGAATTAAAATCAATTTGATTTTGTATAAATATAATGTGATATTATGTAAATATAACATTTGTTTAATTACTTATTATATTTATATGTGTGTATGCATTGTATATTGGTAATAAATATAGATAATGTAATGTAATAATTGCACCTACCACGATTTCTCACTACACCCCGGGTTGACTGGGAGAGAATGCCAAAAGGCATTAAGTTCGCCCTTTGTAATCCTTAAGGTAATTGCAATAAATAAATTTAAAAAATGATGTGTAATGTTTTATTCATATTATAAGGGTTTGGTACGTTGCTTTGCATTACGTTTACTTTTTCAAGTGAAACTATTGGCGGCGATTTGATAGGTACCTACATTTTGTTACATGAGAGAGATGACAGATTTTCTCCCTATCTCTCTCTTAAAATCTCTCTTCTGCCAAGTGTACGGCGTTGTCCGCGCCATTTCTATTTTATTTGATTTATTACCCTGAGAGTAACAGTATTGTTAAACTCGTCCTAATTTCGGTAAAACAAATAAACAAGTAACAAATTGGCCAAGTCTTACACGCGCACCAAGAGTTATTATCTATAAAAACGGCAAAAAAGTCATGTCTGTTGTATGGGAGCCCCACTTAAAGAAATATTATCCTTTTGTTTTAGTATTTGTAGTTATAGCGGTAACAGAAATACTTCATCTGTGTAAATTTCAACGGTCTAACTATCACGGCTCATGAGATACATCGTGGTGACTGACAGACAGCGGTGTCTTAGTAATAGGGTTCCATTTTACCCTTTGGGTACGGAACCATTAAAATGATGAACAAGTTCCACGTCTTCTAATGTAGCGAAAACGGAGACATCTAGTGTTATTGACGTAAACCACGAACTAACATTAAAATGAAATTGATTTCCGTCAAAAGAAAGTGGAAGTGCGAAGAATCAGTTTTTAGAAAGAAGTAGTCTTTAGTTGTGAGAAGAAATAGTTTTTAGATAATTCTTCTGACTCGTCGTCCTTGAAATTCAGATGTGAATTTGTTAAATTATTAGAAAGAATAAATTAGACGTATTCTAACAAACCCATCTACCTAACCTACCTAGGTATTACGATTACACATATGTATAACTTTTTAAGTAAAATTAGATTGTCGTTCGATTTCGTCTGTTTGAATAAAGATATTTCGACTAGAGTTTAAGTTTATCCCAAGTGGCATGGTGCCAACAACGCTAACAGCTATTCCCCGTGTCAACATGGCTTATTAATTAGTATACCAGGCTATTTCAATTATCTTTTTATCGAAAAATATATACATTTTATGTGGATGAATATCGTACGTTAGAGATATTGGCACGGATTTTTCCATATTACGGAAAACCTGGTGTGTAAAACAATATTATTGTTATTTAAACAAATAATCTTTGCTAATTTGTTGTTTATGTTTCTGTGCAATGATGATGCGTCATTTGTTGTTGCGATCTGTGTTTATCGATATCGCATGCATTGTGGCTACTCGGCTTTTACGCGCCTATTATTAAAAAAAAGCATTATGTTTTATGCGGGATTATGTTTAACCTTTTATTTGTAACTAGCGACCCGCCTCGGCATCGCACGGGTGCAATGCTGAATGTTTGTTTTCGACATCGCATTAGAAACCTCAAAAATTATCAGTATATCTCTACTATATTATGCATGAATTATACATATAAACCTTCCTCTCGAATCACTCTTTCTATTAAAGAAAACCGCACAAAAATACGTTGCGTAGTTTTAAATATCTAAACATATATAGGGACAGACAGACAGCGGGACGACTTTGCTTTAGTGATTATTCCTCTATAATTATGTCCATATTAACATATAATTTTAGTTTTTTGTCATCCATATTTTTAATTTCCATGTGATGATGATCGATGAGAAGCCTGGTGATGGTAAAAGAAACCACCAAGTAAGGAAAAAGCTCCTATTCTTTGAGTAGTTATGATTATAAATAATCTACCTACGACTTCTTGACCGCAGTTTATGTATTTATACGAGATAAAACTTTATTAAAATATTGTCGACTAAAATCACGCAATCTGCTTGTTTGTATTCTATCTCCTTGTTTGTAATCTAATTGTTTGTATTAGCATCACTAACGATGTCACAGCACTCAATTTTAATAAGAATTTAGGGAGTAACTTTGTATTTAATGTTGCAGTTTAAGAGATAAAACGCGGATTCCGCCTAGAGTAAACGATGTAGTTAAAACCAGATATTTATAGACTGCACAGTTAATGTATTGGCTCTTACAGTTTCGTGGAAACAAATTTTCAACAATACGATCGTTTATTAAAACTTTCCGACACATCTGTAAAGTATGACGTCGTTATGATTGTACGTATCATCGCACAGATTAATGATAAAAATTATTTTAAAAAAGAAAAGTAACAGCCTATACATGTCCCACAGCTGGGCAAAAGCCTTCTCTGTACAGAGGATTATACCATACCCTACTGATGTTAATTTTGCAACAGCCGAGGCTGCTGCGTGGCCTTACGACACTTAACATCAGTTCAACCGCCCAGCTCTCTTTGCCGCCTTCTCACATAAAAAAAATCAAACTTACAACTTCTCTTCCAGCCTGCATTCCGGCATCCTGCTAGAATGCTGACTCTCGCTGTCCACATCTTTGACCTGTGGAAGAAAAGTATAATTTAATGGTGTAAAACCTGCATTTAAGTCACAGGTTATATGGGAGTTAACAAAGGTTGTTAACTTTAAATTTTATAGCTATAAAGTAATATTTATTGTATTTCATGTTCACTGTAGCTGCTTATGTTTGGGACGCTGCTCGCAAGCTTTTTAAAAACTAATCAACTCTGCGGACGTGTATTCAATAATGAAATTGCTAATAAATGGCTAGCCATTTTTATACAATTTACAAATATAGTAAATATAGTTACAAGTGCACATGTCTGAGAATCAACGTAGCGCCCAACCACCGTGCAATTACAACATCTTAAGAATGGGATTGAAACCATTGACATCAGTAATTAGACAAAAGACAAAAAGTGTATTAATTTAATAGTCAATATGTACTAGAATTGAGAGTGCTAAGTAATTGAGTCTGTTGTATGGGAGCCCCACTTAAACATTTTTTTATATTCTGTTATTTAGTATTTGTTGATTATAGGGCAACTGATATACATCATCTATGAAAATTTCAACTGTTTATCTATTATGGTTAATGAGATACAGGTGACAGACGGACAGGCAGACAAACAGCGGAGTCTTAGTAATAGGGTCCCGTTTTACCGTTTGGGTACGGAACCCTAAAAAGCGGGCAATGGTTACCTCACTCGTCAAAAGAAACACGAAAGTATGCTAACTCCACTTCACTCGCGTTCTGCGAGGCAGTGGTACTTCGAGCATGCCAATTCGTGCATCAGCAAAACCTGTTGCGTGTTTGCCGATCATCATTCACGAGAACAATACGATGAAACGATGATATAACATGTGGGTGATTGTTTGTGACGTCACTCGGCTTTGTCGTGAGACAATGCCGCTTGGAATGAGATAGCGCGTGCAGCGGTCACCCCCAAATACACAGATATTGTAACGACCTAGACAGTACATTTCAGAGGTACGCCCACCAGCTACGGGTGGAATCTTGGGGTGATACAGCCCTGTAGATACTCGATAGTGTTTTTAAGGTTCCGTACCCAAAGGGTGAAACGGGACCCGGATTACTAAGAAACCGCTGTCTGTCTGTCTATAGTTAGGCAGTTGAAATTTTCACAGATGATGTATTTCTGTTGCTGCTCTAACAACAAATCCAAAAAAAAAGAATGATAAAATATTTAAGTGAAGCTCCCGTACAACATACATGTTTTTTTTTTATCGTTTATACGGAACCATTCGTGTGCGACATTATGCTGTGTTTCAAGGATATTTTACATACATAAACTTCACGTGGACAAACACCCGAAACAATTCTCTGTGGGTCACACAAATAGTTGTACGGTGTGGGAATCGAACCCACGACCCCCGACGCCAAAGCCAATAACCAACTATGCAACTAAGTCTATAACCAACGTCGCGGAAGATGACAATAGCTCAAAAAAAGATCAGAATTCATTGTTTAGCTATTGCCCCTGTATCGCTTAACAGTCTTAAATCAACATTGCGTTACAAATTTAGAACACTCCAAAACCCAAAAACAATATTAATTGTCTAGGTATCAGCCCTGATGACCTGGTATTATAAAATAGGCTAAGGTATCTATTGCCGTAAATAAATGAGCCTAATATACCTTACACTGGGTTCGCGGGCTATCAGTATATCAGTAGCTAGGTCTTATAGATTTAACCCTGAGAGGGTTCAACTGTGGGGTTCGACTGTGGTAGGGCCACGCAACAGTCTTCGCTGTTGCACGAATGGGCAGTCTCTTTCGTGGAAGTACTACGGCTGTACAGAAGACGGACGTAAATTGGGAGTATATGTCTCGTTTCATCCGGTTAGTGAGGTAACCTGTGCCCTAAATGCCATTGGTTGGCAACGTGTCTGCAACCCATCTGTTGTTGTAATGTCCATGAGATGCCCGTCGATATTCACTTAACATCGCGTGAACCGTCTGCTCGCTTAACATCGTTACACATTAAAAAAAAGTTTTTTTTTTACGATTTTTTACATCAAAAAACGGGTTATCATACATAATCCCATTTAAACTTGTAGCAGTATAAATTCAATAAGGGCCGGATTTAGAGGTCTGGAGGCCTCGGGGCAACAAAGGAGTGGAGGCCCCTTGGTCCCAAATTATTTTCAAAATAAAATGATCAATTTTTTCATTCGAGTTTTCCAATAAATAATTTATTATGAAACCAGGTATAGATTCTTTTATTATTTAACAAACATATAAATATAATATCTATTGTGTCTCTGTGGGCCCCTCTTTTGTGGAGGCCCCAGGGCTGTAGCCCCGGTTGCCCTCCCCTAAATCCGGCCCCGACTTCACCCTACTTTGGCCATCTCTTTTTACGTTATTAATTTTGAGAGCTGCTTGCATAATTTTAAACAACACAACCCGACCGTGATCATGATATCATGTCACTTTGCAATTTGATCAAGGCTCAAAACGAAAAAGAGACCGACTGAAACACGATTCCGTTTCCAATACATAAAATCACGCAACGTCCGATTAACAGAAGCTTTCTTCTCGCTTAGGAAATCCTATTGCGAGACTTCAGCTGATGAATGCAATCAGACTTTGCTACACTTAAACTCGGCGTTGATTGTTGCAAGCGGTGCAACTGCGAAGAGAGGAGAGGGGGCATGACGACAACTTTTGCACAATCTGATAGTAATTAGAAGAGGCAAAAGCTGTTTTGATGTCATCCAAAAAGTTTTCAGTTTATTGTCCTAAAGAGATCTTTGACTATTTCATTTGGAGTTCCAAATGGAAAACTTTTCAGCCTTTCTTTCTAACAGTGTTTTTTTATGATGTCATAATGACTTTGTAATTATGACGTGTATTTATTTTATGCAACATTAATTAAATCCTCGTCAAAGAAATAGTCTTTACATATTTCAAACATCCAAAGTCTGCATGAAAAAAGCAAAATATTCAAAATACGTATTTTTTTTATTTTAGTTTGAATTATTTTGTTTTTGTATTTCCTTTAAAATATTCTTTTATTCGTTTTAATTTGAAAACTTATGATACTAAGGTTACTATAAAACTTTGTTACATACATATCAAATTAATAAGTTTGTCACAAAAACTTATTAAAATTTGGTATTTATTTGCCATGACCCAATGATTTTGGTGACATCACAGTCATTTAAGTATCGCATAAATATCGGTTGTAATTATACATACAAACAATTAACCAAAATTAATAAAACATTTCAGTAACAAAAAACAAAACTGACTTCTAATATCTTACTCACTATACATTTTCTATTTCATTTTGAGGAGTTACCCGGCGGGTAGGGGGGGGGGGGGTCGTGGATTCGATTCCCAAACGGCACCACTATTTGTGTGACCGTTTGGGCGTATATACATATATAGGATTAATTATTTAATAGTTGAGTAAAAGATGATTTTTGAACGAAGTATTGTGTGAATGAGAAGGATGGATGACGTAAAAGGGATTGAGGGACTTTTCGCAACGACGTCACGAACGAGTAACGTGTATCTGTGTCTTAAAATGTATTAATTTAAATAAAGATGAAAATAGTAACAATATACTCAAAATAAAGATTTTATTTATCCTACGCCTACATATATATATATATAGTACCTGGAGGACCGAGCTTGCTCTTCTATACCAGATCATTATCTTTATTTTTTATTTTTTTATTTCCAAAATACATGATTTACCAAAAAAAAACGAGCAAAGCTCGGTCCTACAGGTACTGTTATCCTAAAGTAAGGGCAGTTAATTGTTAAAAAAAAAGAAAAAAAAAAACAATGAAATCACTCCTCCTTTTCGAAGTCGGTTTAAAACTGCCGTAACTCCGACTAGAATCGCATAAATAACGTGGCTCCATGCGACCAAGCGCGACGAGATTGGGCACGTCTTCAACACCATTGTACCAGGAGCACATAAATAACGAGAGGGCAAGACAAACAGCTGAGACGGCGAAGCGTGGAAGGTGAGATTTGTTCACCACGATTAAGATGTTGAGGTCGTATCGCCTTCCACTCGTCGCTAATCCAACCGGCTGTGGGAGCCAATGATGGCTTGCGGAGCTGACAAGAGCTGATATAAATATAAATTAACACCCGGTCTCTGAAACACTGATCATCGTATAAATTAACTAATCAGCTCTCAAATGGCTTATCAGATGTCATTTGATTTGTCAAAAGGATGGTTAAACTGTTTGAATTGATCATTCTGATTGGCGTTATTGAAAATTTATTATATATTTTCAGAAGTTTCATCGATTATTCGTGAAGTAACAACAAAAACTAACAAAACTTTCACCTCTTCGTAATATTAGTACTTATGGACAATAAAATAGATAGAATGTTTTGTTTTCTTGTTCTAGTCAAAGTTATTTAATTCAACATTAATAGTTCACCAAAAGAATGGATATTGTACGTAAACGTTATTGTCTCTACGATGATAATTTGACAAACAACCATTGTAAGCACAAATCACGTTTTCGGGACAATAATAAATGTTTTATCTTTCTTCAAAGAAAGGTTACTGTTTATCTTGTACCCGTAATTGAGTTATTGTCTTTTATCCGATTTCATTATTTATCTTTTAAACGTAATTGGGTGTAGAGTCGTTAGCTTGGCGTCGAGGTCGCAGCTCTCACGGATTTCTTTTTAACTATGGTAGGGTACACGCAGAAGCCTCGACTGTTGTACGAATGGGCAGGCTCGTCCGGGTAAGTACCACGCCCTCACAGAAGACCGGCGTAAAGTGGAGGTATAACAAATACTTTCGTGAGTAAGGTAGCCGGAGCCCAATTTTCAAACGATTCTCAACTCATCTGTAACCCTCGGGTGTAGCAGATGTCCAAGGGCGGCGGCATTCACTTAACATCAGGTGAACCGCCTGCTCGCTTGGCAACTTTTGACATAAAATGCTCGCCTGCCATCTTCCTACTAAATAAAAAATTCTTTTTATTTAGTAAGAAGATGGCAGGCAAGCATGTGTAAGACGTAGGTTACAATTGAA